GAGCCAGAAAGAGAGGTCTTCCATCTGCTGGTTCACTCCCCAGATGGCTGCAACGGCCAGAGCTGCGCCAATCCAAAGCCAGGAGCCTCCCCTGTGTCTCCCACATGGGTGCAGGGGCCCAAGCACTTGGGCCATCTTCTACTGCTATCCCAGGCCACAGCAGAGAGCTGGATCAGAAGAGGAGCAGCCGGGACGAGAACCGGTGCCCATATGGGATGCCGGTGCTTCAGGCCAGGGCTTTAACCCGCTGCGCCACAGCGCTGGCCCCTGGATGACTTAACAGAGTAAGTGTAAAATGCTCAGCACACCAGTGTCCATGCTGCGGCCTGCCAGGTGCTCATGGCCCGCAGGCCAGCTGGTTAAACCCTAGTCTGATCACTCACTCCTTGTTCTTAAAGGGCCCAGGTCAACATGTCATCAAGGAACATTCTAGAACATTCCACACCAGGAGCATGCAGTCCGGTGTTAGTCCTGGCTCTGCTCTGGTTGGCTGGGCCTCCGTTGCTTCATCTTTAACATCAGGGAATTGGAGCCGAGGCTGTGGCCCAGTTGCTTACGGTGCCGCTTGGGACGCCAGCACTCACGGCGGAACTCAGGGTCAAGTTCTGGCTGCCCCACCTCTGATTCAGCCCCAGCTAACACTCCTGGGAAACAGCGGGAGATGCCCAAGTATGTGGCCGCCACCACCCACGTGGCGGTTCCTGGCTCCCGGCTTCAGCCTGGCCCGGCCCCTGCCGTTGTGGCCACTTGGGGTGGGGAGTCACCTGGGACACAGCTCATCTCGGAGTGCCTGGGCTCAACTCCCGGCTCCAGCTCCTTATTCCGGCTTCCCGCTAATGTCGCACCCTAGGAGGCAGCCGGATGGAGCTCCTGGCTCCCGGCTTCAGCCTGGCCCGGCTGCTGCTGTTGTAGGCCTTTGGGGAGTAAACCAGCAGACGGAAGATCTCTGTCTCTCTCTCTGTCTCTCTCTCTCTCTCTCTCTGCCTTTGGAGTTAAAGACAAATACATACGGCCGGTGCCGAGGCTCACTAGGCTAATCCTCCGCCTTGTGGCGCCGGCACACCGGGTTCTAGTCCCGGTCGGGCCACCGGATTCTGTCCCGGTTGCCCCTCTTCCAGGCCAGCTCTCTGCTGTGGCCCGCAAGTGCAATGGAGGATGGCCCAAGTGCTTGGGCCCTGCACCCCATGGGAGACCAGGAGAAGCACCTGGCTCCTGGCTCCTGCCATCGGATCAGCGCGGTGCGCCGGCTGCAGTGCGCAGACCGCGGCAGCCATTGGAGGGTGAACCAACGGCAAAGGAAGACCTTTCTCTCTGTCTCTCTCTCACTGTCCACTCTGCCTGTCAAAAAAAAAATAAAAAAAAAATACATAAAGGGCAGGTGATGAAGAGAGGGGACTCTGGCTGGTGCGGAGGCTCTGAGGCGGGAGAGTGAGCAGCGGGCTTGGAGGACCGAGAGGGCCTGGTTCTGCAGAGCCAGGGAGGCCGCCCATGGCACGGAACCCACAGGTGCTGAGGCTGGCGAGAGCTTGATTTTGTTGTCTGTTTTTTAAGGGGAGCCTACATGACTATGACCGGCTGGGACCATGGCCCAGGTGCCCCCTTGCCTCCCTGGGTCACAGCCTTTGGATGGAGGCTGGCGCTGGGGCACCTGTGGCCATTGGAGGCTCAGCCACACCCAAGGCCAGGCAGTGCCCAGAGGAACAGACCTGGGGCGTGGCTGTGCCCATGGCAGCGGTCACCCAAGGGGAAGGGCTCTCTCCCCACCTGGCCTCGGGTTTCTGCCCCCAGGGAACATTCCAGAAGAACCTCATTGTGCCTGGCAGGGTGGGGCCTCCGGTGCTGGGCACAAAGGCCGGCTATTTGCACATCAGGGGACAGAGGAGCTGCCTGTCCCTGGCTGGCCTCGCTGAATCCTGTTGCTGAATGGGGCGTGGGTGGTCTCCTGACCTGCGTGACCCGGGCAGGTCCCTGCGCCGCCCTGGGTGTGCTTCCTCTCTTGTGGCTTGGAGGAACTCATGCGTTCAGAGCCCTGCATGCTGCCTGGCACACAGCAGGTGCTGCCTAAATGCACAGTGCTAGTGGTGGTGCCAGGAGGGTGCGGTCTGAGTTCAGAGCTTCTTGGGCTCACAGCCTGACTGCACCCCCACAGGGCTTTTGTTGTGCTCAGCCTTGGTTTGTCCATCTGCAAACTGGGCAGGAGGAAGGGAAGAGATACTGGTGCATGCGGGGCTGGGGGCAGGGTGGGCGGGGGGGGACAGGGCTTTGCAGGAATCCAGCCCCACAGGCTGGGTTTGGCTGCCTCCATAGCTCGGAGGGTCACTCCAGGCCCCCAGGGAGACCTGGGCACCCACTCTTGGCCTAAGTCCAGCTCTGGCGCTGTGCAGCCACCAGCTGAGCCGTGGAAGAGAGGAGCGGAGTGGGCAGAGGCAGCATAGCAGGGCTGTGGGGAGGCGGCGGGCGTGGGGCAGAGCTGAGACCAGGACGCCTGCTGCCTCCCGGGCTCGGAGGTCACAGATGAGCGAAGTCGCAGAGAGGCAGGGACGCCTCCCAGAGTCACACAGCTTAGGGTTGGGCAGAGCCACACCCAGATCCTCCACTGCCCATCACGATGCTCTTCTCCTTTTTTTAAAGATTTATTTTTAATGTATTTGAAAGGCAGAGTTAGAGAGAAAAGGAGAGGGAGAGGGGAGGGGGAGAGGGAGGGGGAGGGGTGAGGGAGGGGAGAGGGAGAGGGAGGGGGAGGGGGAGAGGGGAGGGGAGAGGGGGGAGAGGAGGAGAGGGAGAGGGAGAGGGAGGGAGGGGGAGAGGGAGGGGGAGGGGAGAGGGGGAGAGAGAGGAGGAGGGAGGGGGGAGGGGAGAGGGAGAGGGATGGAGAGGGGTATTTGAAAGGCAGAGTTAGAGAGAAAAGGAGAGGAGAGGGAGGGGGAGAGGGAGGGGGAGAGGGGAGGGGGAGAAAGGAGGAGGGAGGGGAGGAGGGAGGGGAGGGGAGAGGGAGGGGGAGGGGAGAGGGGAGAGAGGAGAGGGGAGGGAGGGGAGGGGAGGGGAGAGGGAGGGGGGAGGGGAGAAGGGGGAGAGCAGGAGGAGGGAGAGGGACGAGGGAGGGAGGGGGAGAGGGAGGGGGAGGGGAGAGGGACAGGGACAGGGACAGGGAGGGAGAGGTACAGGGACAGGGACAGGGAGAGGGAGAGAATCTTCCACCTGCTGGTTCACTCCCCAAATGCCCACAACAGCCAGAGCTTGATCCAGACCACAGCCACGAGCCCGGAACTCCATCCAGGTGTCCCACGTGGGCGGCAGGGACCCAGGTACTTGAGCCATCACCTGCTGCCTCCCAGGGTGCACATGAGCAGGGAGCTGGGATCCGGGGCAGAACTGGGACCTGACCTGGGCGTTCCGATGTGGGATGCAGTGCCCCGCTATGCCGGTCGCAGCCCTGACTCATTCCTTTGTGCTGTGACCTCCAGCTGGTGCTAAGGCCTTGACTTTTTTGCCCTCCCTACGAAACCAAGTTCTTCCTGGCGGCTAGGAGTCTCCAGTCCTCCCAGGGCAGAGGCTGGTGGCAGGGGGCGTGGTGTGTGTGTGTGTGTGTGTGTGTGTCCCAGCTACAACCTGATGGTCCCGCTGGGTGTCCCAGGCCCAGCACCTCCCCTTCTCTTCCTGCTGCCCCCTTCTGGTGAGACACTTCTTCACGCTGTCAGTCAACCAGGACAAGGGCACATCCGCCAAGTTCATGGAAGATGGAATTGAAAGGTAAGTTTAGGGGCCGGCGCTGTGGCACAGTAGGTAAAGCCTCCACCTGCAACACAGGCATCCCATATGAGTGCTGGTTCTAGTCCCGGCTGCTCCTCTTCTGATCCAGCTCCCTGCTAATGCTCCCGGGAAAGCAGTGGAGGATGGCCCAAGTGCTTGGGCCCCTGCACCCACGTGGGAGACCCCGGGGGAAGCTCCTGACTCCTGGCTCCTGGCTTCAGATCGGCCAAGCTCTGGCCATTGTGGCCATTTGGGGAGTGAACCAGAGGATGGAAGACCTCTCTCTCTGTCTCTCTGTCTATAACTTAGCTTCTCAAATAAATAAATCTTTAAAAAATTTATTTATTTGAAAGGCAGAGTTAGAGAGAGAAAGAGAGAGACAGACAGAGAGCTTCCATTCGCTGGTTCCTCCCTAAATGGCCTCAACTGTCAGAGCTGGGCAGGGCCAAAGTCAGAAGCCAGGAGCTTCATCCAGGTCTCCCACGTGGGTGCAGGGCCCCAGGTACTTGTGCCATCTTCGCTGCTTTCCCAGGAGCATTAGCAGGGAGCTGGATCAGAAGTGGAGCAGCCGGGAATCGAACCCCGGGCTCTGATATGGGATGCCTGTGTTGCAGGTGAGGGCTTCACCCGCTGCGCCACAGCGTGGGCCCCATGCGTTAATTATTAAGGTTTGCTTCTTTGTAAATGTTTCACACTGGTGGTTTGAACACATTGCTTCTGCTCAGTCTCTCTCTCTCTCTCTCTCTCTCTCTCTCTCTCTCTCTCTCTCTCCTCCCTCACCCTCTCCCTCTCTCCCTCTCCTCCCAACCCCAACAATTCTGAAATTCCTCTCTCCAGCTGTTCAAGCCCAGGGAGCGCCTGTGACTGACCAGCTGACGAGAAAGGACCTGGCCAGCTCAGCTTAAGGGAAACAATAATGCAAACGGCCCCAGTGTCCCCCGGGCTCCGTCCGGACCTGGTGCCCCCAGCATCTTCTCGGTGATGTCCACATGTCTGTGGGGACCTCAGGGACTCGCCCAGGCCTGCTTGGAGAGCGAGCTACAGATGCGAGGGCTGGGCCTGCGGCAGTGAGCTGCCCGTCGGTGGAGGCATTCAAGTGGTGTGCATGTGCCTCGGCACCGCGCTGTGCCAGGCTCCACGCGGTACTGAAGGCACGCACACGCGGGTCAAGGCAAGACATTGGGGACGCGCCTGACTGAAGAGATTGGGACCGGGAATTGGGGAGGGAGATGGAGGTAAGAATGATGAATGAGCGGAGGAAACAGTGCCGTCCCAGGCTGAGCCCTAGTCCCGCAGGCGCCCGCGGGGGATCAAGACGCCCGTTTGCCAGGTGGGTAAACTGAGGCCGCCTCCCGGAGGCGGGCGGGCCACGCGCGGGGCCGGCCAGGTGGGCGTGGTGCCGGCTGGGGGCGGCGCGCGGGGCTGGAACCTGAGCCGCGGGAGGAGCGCCGCGCGGGCGGGCGCCGGGATTCAGGAAGCGCCGCGCTCCCGGCCGCCGGCGCCCGCCGTCCCGGAGGTGAGTAGCGGCCAGGACTCCGGGGGACGGGCCGGCCGAGGACCCCTCGTAGGCCTCTGGGGCCGTCTCCGTGCCTCGTCTGGCTCCGGGGGCTGCCGGGGCACCGAAATCCCTGCCGGGTGTGTGTGTGTGTGGGTGGGTGCCCGGGAGGCTGGAGGAGGGCGGCGCAGGTCCGCCTGGATGTCCTCCGGGCAGGCACCGCTCCTGAGTCTGGATTCCATCACCCATGAAGTGGGCGCCCACGTGGGCCCTGGGGTTGAAGCTGGGGGTCTGGGGAGGTCTCCGCCTGACCGGGCCCCGGGGGCCCTGAGGCCTGCAGCCCACCTTGGGGCGCTCCCGTCCTGGGGATTTGGAAGAGAGACTGGGAGTGGGGGTGCCCTAGGATTTGGCTTCTGCTTGGGGCAGTCGGAGGGAATTGGCCATGGTGCTCCCCAAGGCCACTTCCTGGCTCCTTAGTGCCTCCTCCTCCAGGGGGCCCACAGAGCTTTAACCTCCTGTTCCACCCAGGAGACTCCGGGGTGGTCCCTGAGGGCGGGAGAGAGACCTCCCACGTTCGCTCCCTGCTTGCCCAGGGATGCCAGCCCCTCAGCCTTGATGAGCTGTCTGCTAACCCAGCCGGCCCCAAGCCCCGCCCTCGCCTCCCCACTTTGCCCAAGAGGAAATTGAGGCCCAGGTGCCCCTGCCCCCCAAGTCCAGGGGGATTTCAAGCCAGGGGCTCCCCAGCTCCAGAGCCCTCTGTGGTACCCCAGCCCGTCTTCCTGAGAGCCAGTTCTGCACACAGGGTCTGGTGCCCGCAGGGTGCCCAGGGTGGAGCCCTGTGGCTTGTGCTGGGGGAGGGGCTGACAGCCGGGTCAGCAGATGCCACCTGCGAACCTTGTTGGGGAGGGGAGGGGGCACCAAGGACCCGGCAGGACTCGAACTCTGCCACTGTGCCCCAGCGGGCAAGGGCAGGGCATAACTTGGGGACCACGGAGAGTGAGAAGGGGCCGGGCTGGGGACCCCTTCTTCCCCACCCTGGGTGGGCAGATCCAGCGTGAACGGCACGTGGCGGGCGAGAGTTCAGCAGAGTGAGGCTGCCTGGGACCCCTGCCTGGCTGGAGCCCGAGGGGTGGGGCTCAAGCAGAGCGGCCCCTCCCCAGTGCCCGGATGCCGCCCCCCCGCATCCTGCTGCCCCCCCCCGTGGGCACTTGGCCAGGTGTGCACGGGTGGAAGTCACGTTGTGCTGTGTTGAATGAAGGGGGACGGGGCTGGGGGTGGGGTGGAGAACGGTGGGGCAGGAGCGCCAGTGAGACCCAGAGTGATGCGGGAGCCGTGCTCGGTCAGGGAGGTGTTTGCCCGCACCACGGCCAGAAACACGGAGGAAAGGGCATTCAGGGAAAGGGGACGCACAAGCCAAGACATGACTGTCACCTGTCACCTGGTGGGCCAGCCTGGGCTTTGTCTGCAGTGTGGGATCCGACAGGCAGGGGCCGAGGCTGACCCAGACGCCCTGCAAGTCCAGGCTGGGAGGGACAGGGTAGTTCGTGTGGTCTCGAAAGTTCCCTCTGGCAGCGAAGTGGGAAAGATGGGAGAATGCCAGAGAGGCGGCTGGCCCCCCGGCCGGGGCAGCCGTCCAAGCCCCAGGGTGCCGAGTGGAGAGTGGCAGCCGGGAGAACGCAGAGGGAGGGAGGGAGGGAGACGCACACAAGCCGGCCTCCCTGTGCCCGGTGCACAGTAGGTGCTCAGTAAACCGCACTGCGCGGCTGATCGCGGTTGCTGTCTGAACAAATGCTTTTGAGGGGGTCTGGGTCCCTTGTGTTCCTTTGCTGTGCCCAGGGGCATTCGGCCTGCATGGAGTCGCCGTCTCCCGACCCTGCTGGCTGCCTCAGTTTCTCCAATCTGAATGATAAGCAGCCAGGGGATGGCCCCCCCTCTTGTTGCAGCGGGGTCTGGGGAGCCGGGAGAATGTTGATTTCCCGCCAGCCAGCCCTCGGCTGTGCCGCGCATCAGTGATTTGCTGCAGAATTCCCCTGTTAAAGATTAATTCAGATCTCTGGAGATACTGCGGCCGCTGCTCTGAACTCTGGGTACAAGGTTCTGTGGCTTTAGCCAGGCCCAGGCTACACTGACAGTTCTAATGGTGGCGAGCGTTTCTCCGGCACTGACTGAGTGCCACGCTCTTCCAGGACATTTGGATACAAAGCGGTTGCTGTACCCCTTTTTCAGACAGAGAACTGAGGCCCAAGGGAGGAAGTTGTTTGCATGGGGTCTCTCCGCTGGGATGGGAACTGGGGTCTGAGTCCTGTGTGTCTGGTTCCAAAAGCAGTGCCCTTCGCCTCTGGAGTGGCGTGTCCCTGTTTGTCTATGACCTCCAGGAGGTGCTCAAGGTCACGGATATTGGCGTTAAGACAGGACCGGGCCCACTCAGGGAAGTCACCTGGCCTCTCCGGGCCTCGGTTTCCCCCATCTGTCAAATGGGGCTGTCGGTTCCCCGTCTGCTATTCCAGGGCTCGGTGTCCGCTGGCCCCCACCACCCCTACGCCATCCCCTGAGCGAGGTGGATGGAAAGTAGCAATGGGGCAAAACCAGACTTGCACCAGGCCGATTCCTCTTCAGCCACGGAATCTTTATGGGCCTTGACCGAGCGCCAGGAGCCGTCCACGTTTCCCGCTTGCCTGATTAGTTGCTGAGAAGCCAAAGATGGAGCCCGACCGTGCGGGGTCAGAGCCCAGCTCCCGGCCAGCTGCCTTCCTCCTGTGGCCTCAGTGTGCTCATCTGTTAGTGGGGACGATGGTGGCGCTGGCCTCGTGGGGTGGAGGTGACGTCCGCTGCCCTGTGTTCCATCTCACGCTGTCGCTGCCCCTCCCCTCAGCAGGTGGCAGGGGCAGGACGGCTTGGTCTCATTTTACAGCCGCGGAAGCTGAGACAGAGTGGGAAGGCGTTTACCCAGGGCTGGACCTGGAAGCCAGAGTGACTGAGGTGTCCCTGGGTCCCTGAAAAGCCCAGTGTCTGGCTCAGTTGCCTGCCCAAAAAGCCACCTTGAGCCCCTCTCCATTCATCTCCCAGCTCTGCCGCCTGCTGCTGTGTGACCTCAAAAGGTGGCTCAACCTCTCTGTTCCTGGAGCTGCCACTGGGGCTGGCTGGAGGTCAGAGCGTCGCCTGCTGGAGGGGGCTTTGGGCTGTTGTGGCTGCCACTCCCATCCTGGCCTCGGGCTGTCCTTGGGTCCCCTCCACTGGCACCCTGGCCCGGCAGGAATGACGAAGGGAGAGGAGCCCTCGCTCTCACCGTGACCACGACTTCCTTGCCGCCCCAGCCCCTTCCCGGCCGCCTGCGCCTGCTTCCTCATTGGTGAGGGAGGTCACAGGGGAGCAGGCCGGGCCACAGGAAGCCCTGGCAGCTCCGCTCCGCATGAGGTCAGGGCGTTGGAAAAGGCGCAGGAGGAGGCGGGGCGCCGGGCGGGCAGACAGGCGGCCGGCGCGGAGGGGCTGCTCTTATTTGTGTTTGAGAGTGAGTAAGGCTCTTCCTGCCGCCCACCCGCCCCGCCTGCTCCCGCACAAAGAGCTGCCCAGTCGCCCCGGTTTGTCCCGCAGGGTGGAGTGGCCTGCGCCCCACCCGCCACCCTGGCCAGGGCGGGGACCGACCACCTTCGAGACAGCTCCCGCTTTGTGTGTGTGTGCGTGTGTACTTGTGCATAGGCGTGTGCATGTGGGTGTGTGCATGTGTGTATGTGTGTGTGCATTTGGGGGGGGAATGGCCCTGGAGATTCTGGGGTGACCCAGGCAGGTGAGGTGGGCATGCGGCTGACCGACCTCAGGCAGGGACCCGCCAGCCTGGTGCACTGCTCTCCCCACTTGGCACAGAGATGCGGCTAGGGAGTCCCTGGAGGTAAGGGGAGGGAGGGAGGAGGGAGGGAGACAGGCTCTCGCTCTGGTGAGTGTCCTGGCCTCACCTAGCCTCAGTTTTCCTCATTGGTGAAATGCACTCTGACAGTGATCACCCTTACAGGACTGTTGATCTTGTAAGTCGGAGAAGAGGTGCACATAGTAGGTGTTCAGGAAGTTCAAGGACGGGAGGGAGGAAGCTAGCTCGCTAGTTACTTGGGCAGAGATTCGGCTTTTGCAACTCGTTCATCTTAGGTAAAGTGACTAAGCTTGTCTTTGGCTTTTTATCTGAATTCATTAACTCGTTCCTTCATTCAGCAAATACTAGGGAACTTCAACAATTTCAAGGAGAATAGAATGAAAAGATAGATTAGTGGGAGCAGGTGTGTGGCACAGTGGACGCCTGGATCCCACAGCAGAGTGCCTGGACCGAGTCAGCTTTCACTCCAGCTCCCTGCTAATGCGCCTGGGAGGCAGTGGATGATGGCCCAGGTCCTTGGGCCCTACCACCCACATGGGAGACCCAGAGGGAGCTCCTGGCTCCTGGCTTGAGCCTGGCCCAGCTCTGGCTGTTGTGGGCACTTGGGGAGTGAACCAGAGGATGGGAGACCTCAGTCTCTGTTTCTCCCTGTCTGTCCGTCATTCTGCCTTTCGAATCAATCAATCAATCAATCAATCAATCAATCGGGTCAGTTTAGGGGAGATCAGTTAGCCTTGCAGTTAGGATGTTGGTTACGACACATTGTGTCCAACCTCAGAGGACCTGGATTGAACACTCAGCAGGAGGTCCTGACCCCCGCTTCCTGCCAATGCAGACCCTGGGAGGCAGCAGGTGATGGCTCAAGTCCCTGGGTCCCTGCCCGCTATGAGGGAGACCTGCATGGAGTTTCTGGCTCAGATCTTTAGCCTGGCCATGGCAAGCATGCGGGGAGTGAACCAGTGGATGGAAGCTC